CTAAAGAAAAGACAAGAATAAAACAATTCAGTCTTTTTTTAAAGCTTCTAGTGGTAAGTAAAATAATGTATTTTTAAATATATTTACACAACCCGCATCTTACGGAGTAGTATTTTACCAACAACAATAATTACACATTAAATTTAACTTATTAGAAAAGAACATTTGTTTTTTTTTTCAGAGTTTTGTTAAATAATAATACTCTCCCTAATTACGAGTGAATTTCAACCCCTGAAGTCGACTGAACGACTTGTGTAGGGGAAGAGACGACTATTATTATTTGCCGTGGCGATACTACTGTTATTTTTTTATTGAAGCCCAATTTTGTAATTATTGTAAATGTTTTTTATAGGATCCTAAACGTTTAGAACAGTGGCAGCATATCATTCATAGGGTTAATTAAGGACTTTCTAGAGATGATGCCGTTTGCGAGCCATAATTTTCAGAAGATATTTCCAAATATTATGACTCTTTTTACTAATAGTACTGTTAGCATAATAAAAAGGGGAAGTCCAAAATTAAAGCATGAGGCAATACCATGTACATTCCCAAATCTCCGTTTATGCTTGCATTATAACAATAAAAAAAAATATGTTAACGGTCTATTATTTTGCTCAAAAAACTATATTAAGTATAATTCAAAAAAATTTGCCACGAAATTGAACTTAACAAATTTCACCATTTAACAAATCTTTTCGAATTTGCATTTTATAAATTAATTAATTACTGTCGACCACATTGGATTGATCAAAAAATATGATATGAACATCAATGACACATTTTTAATATAGCTAAAGCGCAAACTGAAAAATGTTCTCTTGCATAATCAATAATGAACTTTACAGTTATAGTGAGAATAATGATATACCAATCCGATAAGTCGACATCCAAGAACACGTATTTTCCTAGTTATATAGTGGCTAAACTGTGAGTACAGACATTTGACTTATACCAACTTGTTCGTAAAATTTTTTTAATAGTAATCCCGAAAAATTATGACTAAGCTGAAGTATTTTCGATTATAATTCAGGTAGTAAATGTAATACTTATCGGCAGCCATCGCCAGTTAAAGATGGAAAAAAGTGGCTGTTTATTTACAAAATAGTATATGGGCTTAAACCTAAATTAGCAAAATGGAAAACGTAAATTCGCAATAAAAAAAATATTAGAAGATATACTGTCCCAAAACAAAGCTATAAAATATCAAAATGATAATCTAGCGCTACAATTTGATAGTTTTGAAAGAAGAAGTAAAAAATTACAAGGTCCACACAGATAATCATATAGAGAATCTTAAAAAGGAGAATCAGGAGTACTATCATTATTTTAAGCTATTTTGATTTATAAGTTTGCCTACATTTTTGAATGCTTCTATTGGAAATAAAATTATTATTTTATCTTGTGTATAAATTTGCTGGGTATTTTCATAATGAATGGTTAATATTTATTATCAAAATTGTAGGGGCCTATACGTACAAAAACTTCAGAATTTTATCAAAACGTATTGGCTGAAAATTATGATGTAGTAGTTGTAACTGAAACATGGTTGCGCCACGGAAACGCGATTAGCCAGAGCGCAGTGGCGTACCCAAAAATAGATATACGTGTTGTATGAAAACAATAAAATTACTAAAATTGAATTAATATTTTTATGTTATTTATTTTAAAATGTGTTTTTATGAAATGTAACTGGGTGTTCACTGCACAAATGAACCAATGGAGAAACCGCCCCTGAACAAAACCATTTGGTTTTTTATCTACGCATTTTATGTGAACCCAACTGTACATATTTTTCCGTGTATTAATCCATCCATTTTGACAAAATAGGGCATTAACTAGCCTCAATGTGTATGCTCAGTATTGCCGCAACGAGCTGCTTGTTGGTTCCAAAAGTTAATTATAATATTAGCGATATACTGGATGTATGAACACACCTGTCGTTTTTTATCTCAGAGTTTTGACAACAACGACTGACAACGTCAAAACCCCGACCCCTGTATGCATTCAAAAAATACAAAAATATGTTCCGTAAGAACCGCAACCCATAAGACACCTAACTACAAAACAAGATGACTGAAAGCAATTCACACCGTAACATACCAACACATTAACAATAAAATCTCACAACGAATTTAGTGTTCACATTTCTAAGTCTCCCTGTATAAAAGATAAAGAGTAGCTCACATGGCTCTTAATAGAATTCATAAAATAATTTAAAAATGGTAAAAATGTAAAAATAAAAAATAATGTTTAAAAAAATATTGTACAGCTTTATTTTAAACTTATAATTATACTTAAACCTTAAGCCCAAAAAAAGAGGAGCGGCTAAATGCTGACCGACGTGCACATTTTATTTAATTTATTTTTCGTCAAAGGGCGCAGCTAGTGATGATCATGTTGTCAATAGTGTCAATTGTCAAACAAATAAAACAGGTTGAATTTAAAATTAATGGGTCCTATGATTGAACGTTTACGTTATCCGTAACGTACATGTTAGGCCGAGTTTTAACAGCAACGAGGCAAGTTCGTATGATGGAAACATTTTCATAACACATTACTGTTATTTTCCGTCTGTTATGTTCCAATTTAACATATCGTCTTAACAGCCTCGAATAACATGCGGTTAAGTGCCAAATGTCTATGTTACCACTTTATTTGTTTATTATTTAATTATCTAATACCTATTCTGCTATAATTTGAATTCTTAGTATATTTGAATCTGTTTTTAATTTATATGATTTGTAAATGCTAGCCAAAGGTTTGCATTTTTTTATCTAATTTATTTGTTTTCCCCGTGATAATAATTTTGTTTTTCCTAACAAAATTAAGTAGCTCCTCATACTATTTCACAGTTCTTTTAGCTAATCTTTTCGCCATAATAAATATGAAAAATTAATGCAAACAATTCTAACCTAATTGTTGTTGTTTTCACAGTCAGAAAAACATGAAAAACCTCATTTTTAGAAATTAAGTGAAGTTAGGTACATCTTGTGCACACTCGCAATAACGGAAATAAATACTTTCTTCCATTCGTAACAGCCAGTTTAACATCTTCTGTTATCGAACCTGTCAATCATACCGATACGACACCTACTGTTATTTCATGTTATCTATTCCCTGTTAGCACAACATAACAGATTAGTATTAAAATTAACGTAAACGTTCAATCATAGGACCCATATGATATTAAGTGTTGTAATTCTAACAGTTACCTAACTGAATTTTGTTCTCGAGGTTGCAGACTATAAAAAAAGAAGATATCTATTTTGTAATAAAATACCTACGGCACTGGCTCACATCTAGGGATTTTTACTTTTATTTTCACCAATCGCTATCATGACGATTTGGTCACGTGGGTTTTCGGTATTGTTGAAGACCCAGTATATTATCACCATGCGCAACAAACGTTTTTAATAATGCCTGGGTGAATGTTATGGGGTCACTGCAACATTATTTATATTGTAGTTGCCATGTAGATCAGGCATGGCAAAATAATTTCTGCAAAATAAAAGATTCTGAGAAAAGAGACAAGACACTAAAGTATTTGCAACAGGAACAAAATAAGAGAATGATTTCCATTTTAATACAACCATTTAGTTTTGTGCTGATAATAACACATTAGAATTTGAACAATACTTTAAACAATTTTATGGAAATACTTATAAAATATTGGGCTTTATGTTTCCGTAAAAATTTGGAATTAACAAATATGTGTATATAGAGGCTATGCATAAAGTAATAAAGTACAGTAATTTAAATGGTAGAGTTGTTAGTAGATTAGATACAGGATTGAAAGCTGTTTTAAAATTTAAAAGAAAAGTTGTTAATAGAATTAAAAAAAAAATAAAAATGGTAAAACCACAAAAAAAAAACAACATAGTAAATCGCCATAGACTCGCTCTTCTTTCTAAGTTAACTTCGACATATATTGTAGACGATGATGAATAATTTTTAAATTAAAAAAACGACTTCAAAATCGTATAGATGCCCTAAAAAATTGAGATTTTTTATTTTCTCATAGATCTTCATATCCTGACCAATTGTATGTGGAATTACCCCTTGGGTATTTCTTTTCTAACAAAAAAGAATCAGAAATCGGACAACGTGTGGTACAGAATTATCGCTGATAAAAATACTTACAAAATTAAAAGTTTGATGAATTAATCTGGGACCACTCCCGAGGTACCTGCTTTCTAACAAAAAAAAAACGAATTGAGAACCTCCTCTTTTTTGAAGTCGGTTAAAAATAAAATGAAACAATATTATGTCTCAAAATGATCAAGTAAGATATGTTGTGGGATGACTTGTAATTTTTGTCATATATGTATATATTGTTTTAACTACACTTGTTTAGATTACTTAAGACAAAATACAATATGCAAACATATTCATTTAGTATTGTTACATGCCAGATAACAATTCTGAAGGAACTGATCGTAACTATATGAACGAAATAAATGTGACGAACAATGCTGAAGTAATTACTGATTTGGAGTATTTGGAGCAAAATATTTCAGCAGATGCAACAAGTTAGGCACATTAAAAAAAAAAAAAATCAAATTATTGATATGCAGGGCAAATTAGAAAATTTCTGTGATGAAAATGATCTCAGGCAAATATTTGAATAATTTTAATTTGCTCTTAAACTATGACCGCAGCATTAGCAGAGTCGATATTGATTGTGAAGGCTCTGCAGAAATTAATTAGCACCAGATAAAAAAAATAGCTGGGTCTTTACCTCAACAAAAAAAAAGCAAAATAGCAATAATTGTAAAAAAAAATTACATGAAAATGAAATTATTAGAAGAACTCTAGAAGTCTTTTATTTGTTAATAAGAGTAGTTGGTAATGATTATAATTATTTTTATTTCTAAATTATATAAGAATTTTATATATTATGAATTTATTACATAAAAAAATATTATTTATATATTTTATTAAATCGACTATAATGATTTTAAGTATTTTAATATTATACCATAAATTCTAAATATTATTATTTAAATTATAAATATGTGGTGATTTTATTTGTCAAAATTCATAAATTAGTGAACTACTTATACTTATTATTGGTTATTTTATTTATTCCTTCCTACCAATAAAATGCCTAATTATTGGGTTATTTATTAACTCATGTCTAACTCAGAATTATTAACAATAAAATAAAAATTAATATACAATTTTTGAGGCACTATATAATATGTAAGTCTAAATTATCCATTAATTTAAAAAACCGGGCTCAAATACACACACTCTAGCGGAAAACATAAGAAACAATTTGTGCACGCCACGCCGGTCAGGATTTAGCAGCTCCTAAATAAAGATTCATATTACTACATATGTATCACTATTTCACTCACTGTCGCTATCAATATAAACTATTCTCTTCTTTTGTGATGTCTTTTTTAGTCCTAAAAGCGTTTTTTTATGTTTTCTTCGCATCTCTAATTTCTTTTCTAGTATTTCCAACTGAGATAATTCTTGTCGAGCCTCAATTGTTTCATCATGAACCACAAATGAATCCTAAAAGATTCAAATGGAAGATGTTATACACTATAAGCCAGATAAGGAAAATTTAGGGGGTGATTTTACCCACTATCGAACTGTATAATTACTCATATTTGAATGCTCAGCTTATTCAATACCAGCTACTTATTTTAGCATTTGGCTGGACAGTCAAAGATTTATTCATTTATTTATACTACTTTTTATTTTATCTATGGTTTGGACCGTGACATCAAGAAATTGGTAGTTTTCAAAAACTAATTCATTAAATTTACAAATGTTTTTAAAATCATATCAATGAATTCAAGTATTCCCAATAAACGGTGACAACCTCAAAGTTAATTAGCAGTATAACTAACACAATGAAAATGTTTGCAAAATTAGAAACAGTGGAACTAAATAAAAAAAATCAAGAAATATGGATATACTCACGGTATTCCTAATAGACAGTGAAAACCTCAAAGTTAGTTAGCAGTATTACTAACACAACGAAAATGTTTACGAAACTACTATCAGTGGAACTAAATAAAAATAATAAATCCAAAAATACGGATATACTCACGGTACTCCTAATTAACAGTGAAAACCTCAAAGTGAGTTAGCAGTATAACTAACATAGCAGAAATATTTACAAAATTAGTTTGAACACAATCATTGTCATTCTAAAATCCTATTGAACTTAAAATTTTAAGGAAAATAATCTCTATAAGGGTACGAAGCCTACTGATTTAAAAAAAATCTGATTAAAAATTAAGGGGTAAGGGGGGATTGAAACTTAAAAAATCATAAAACAAAAACGAAAAACAATATAAACTTGACATTTTTAAGAAAAATCGTACTCTAAAATGGAACGAAGCCTATTCAATTTTAAAAAAATCTGATTAAAAATGGGGGGTTAAGGGGGGTTAAAATTAAAAAAAAAATCATAAATTAAAAACGAAAAACAATATCAACTTGAAATTTTTAGGACATATTAATCTCTATTAGGGGACGAAGCCTATTGATTTTTTGATGAAAAATCTGATAAATAATGGAGGGGTTCAGAAGGGACTGACTTAAAAAAAAATCATAAATTAAAATTCTAAACAAAATTACCAGATTAGAGGGGCTACCTTCCCCCACACGTCTAGACATCCTTAATGGAATGCCAATAGACTCCTTGACCATCGAGAAGAGCTACAGGTGTTCCTAATAGAACAAAATATAGATATCTGTCTAATATCAGAAACGCATTTAACAAAACAAATCTATAAACAATTTAGAGGATACAAAGTCTATAGTACTATACATCTCTCCCGGATATCGCTGGAGGTGGAAGCGCTGTAATAATAAAAGAAAATATTAACCATTATGACAACGACAAAATAGGAACAGAAGAAATCCAGTTAACAGCAGTTAACATAAAAACGACATAATTTGAAAAAAGAAAATTACAGAGAACTCTTACGACAAATGGGAGAAAATTTTATCTTGGGATTTTAATGCCAAAAATATCATCTGGGGCTCGAGATTAACAACCACCAAAGGTAGGGAACTGCATGCAGCTGCAAGTGAAATTGGTGTGACTATTAGTCAATAGGAAAACATATTGAAATAAAAAGACAGACTGGATAAGTTTTAAAACTGAATTAAGTAATAGAATCGAACTAAGTGCACTACTAAGAACAAAAGAACAACTAGAGTACGAGCTGGAAAAATTTGTCATTGACATACAGCAATCGTCATGGAACAATACAGCAGAAATTACAAGAAAAAACGTAGACAATTCATACCCTAGAGAAATAAGAGAACTAATAAATAAGAAGAGAAAGGCAAGAAAAAATGGCAAATACGAGATTCCCTGAAATTAAAGTAGTTCTCAACAGACTAACACAACAACTAAAACGAGAAATAATCACTATTAAAAAATGAATCAATAGACATATATCTCAGACAATCCACCTTTCCAGTTATTCGACAATTTCACATTACTCATGCTCGAAAAAAGCGCGGGACTTTTGAATCTAGTAATTTTCCATACAACCTATTTTGTATCTCTCTTATCCTAACCTTATAACTGTTGGGTTGGCTACGACGATAACCGTCTGTCATCGTTACTTTGAACAACTGTCATCTAGTCTATACAGGGTGTTAAAAAAAAGTGTCACAAAATGAAATGGTGAATAGTATGACCGAAAATAAGCAGAAAAGTCTTAATAAATATATGACCGCAAATTAACGGTTTCGGAGATACGGACCATTTTGTGTTTATAACAATTTTTTATTATTATAAAAAAACAATTATATTTATAAACAATCAATAACAACATAGAGTTAAATGAGATGTTCAAAGTGCCCTCCCTCCATTTCAATGCATTGCCATTTGCACGACCGTACATAAAATGCATGTCAGCTAATTCAATATTAGTGTAAACAGGCATAACGAAAATTTATAAAATTATTCACCCACAACAAAATAATAACTGCAAATAGTATCTATGAAAAAACATCGGTAGACTCCGATAAGAAAAGCAAGTTTGTGAGAATGAAAAAAGATAATCAAAAAATGATACAAAACACTCCGTATCTCTGAAACCATTCATTTGCGGACATATGTTTATTAAGACTTTTCTGCATATTTTGGCCCATACTACCCCCCGTTTTATTTTGTGACACTTTTTTTTTAACACCCTGTATAGTAGGGGAGCCCGTGACATTTTTTTAGTACTCATTTGCACAAGTCATTATCTAAACAGACTTTTTTAAGACGACCTTATCAAGGACTCCATCGCTGTAGACTAGCAAAGTAGTTCCATGTTCTACAAGGTAAGAATGAACGAAATATTTGTAATTTTGCCTTGCACAAATAACACACGTAAAAGTGTCACTGGCTCCCCTACCAATAATAAAAGTTAATTATTTTTACGGATGTGTAATTGGAACTCAGAGTAGGAAACATAACAACAATAATTTTTTAATTTCAACAGGAAGTAGGATTTGCGCATGAGTAATAGATATCATTAATAACGGAAAAGGTCTATAGACGAACAATAAAAATACTGATTACTCTCTGTGAAAAGCGACTAGGAAACTTAAACGTCCAATAGTCCATATGCCACCAATAAAAGAAGATAAAGGAAACTGGAAAAGATCAAATAAACAAAAAGCTGACATTTAACCGAATGAAGAACAAGGACTCGATTTATTAAAACAAGAGAACACAAACATAGTAGAAATTCCTAGGGTAACGCCTAAAGAAGTAGCTAAGGAAATCAAAGAAAATATCAATTCTAAGAAAGCACCCGGGTATGATCTGATTACATGTGAAATACTAAAACAAATGCCAAGAAAATCTGTGGTTAAACCTTCGAGCATATATTACTAGAGCCATTGTCCAAATGGACTTTGTTTTGGTACAGGGGGGAAATATAGTGTCCAGCATTCCCATTGGTCTGTTTCGTTTTGCTTGGCATGTCAAATGGTTCGAAATTGTCAGAACTGTCATTTGATTTTTGACTTTCATTAATTTCTAGCTTATTTCTGTAGTTTATAATTGATTTTTTGTATTTTATTACTTTAGTGATACAAATTTTAACAATGGTGAGAGATTGTGAAGGTTTTAAATGGAAATACGGAAAGGCTTCGTCAAGGTCATTTCACAAGTAAGTAACCATTAGCGTCTCTACCATTTTTTTAAAAGAAACATAAGTACCTACATTTTATGCAAAAGGCCGTTAAACATGAATTTAAAATAAATGGTAAATTTAGTGAATTAAATTTAAAGAACTTATGAGGAATATTGTTTTAGATTTTGGACTCTATTAAAACGTTAAAAAAAATAATCAGAATTTTTCAATATAAACAAGATTTTCGTTTTTAACTCATTTTATCATGATAATGTTGAATATGTTAAATCAATAATTTTTATTTTTGTACTATTACTAGATACCTACTTAAATAATGCAAGTATATAAAATATGTGCATAATTTAAAGAATTTTAAAGGTATACATCAAATTTATTATTTATATTAATTGCAAACCCCGTAAAAATGATGCGACACTGAAAATAGTGTCTACCTATTTCCCCTCACAACCCAAACAAACTCTGTTGAATGCGGACTCTATGAAATATATATGCTCGAAGGGTTAAACTTACTAATATAATAAACGCTCTATTTCGACTAGAGCATGTACCTAGCATCTGGAAAGTCGCTGAAATAATGGTACCCATACCCGGAAAACCACCAAATGAAGTAAAGTCCTATAGACATATATCCTTGTTATATAAACTTTTCGAAAAACGTTTACCAAAAAGATTGAAACCACTGATAGACAGTAAAAATATAATACTTGACCACCAATTTGGATTTAGGAACAAGTAAAAGTACAAGTATAAGAAGATAGAATAGTCCAGAAATATCTGGAAACGTCATTCCACGTCAAGGAAAAGTCTATACAGTTCGAGAAGGTTCTAGAAAGTGAAAGCAAGCTATATATGCAGTGATCCAGACGTCAGTTTCAGTTTTATGATAGACGTTACATGTTAATCAGAGATAAGGGAGATAAAGATATGAAACGCTCATAAGAAGCTAATGCTTAATAACGACCAGCTTTATCGCAGTTAACAACTGAAAATAGGAAACGTAAAAATAGGATCTTCCCTTTTTTAGTAGGTTTATTTAAATATCTGTAACAACTTCAGAACATAAAACAATAAAAATAAAAAACTACTTGCAAAGATTCATAGGCCGTTCGTAATTTCTGAAGGTAGTCATTTTCGTTCTCACTTATCGTGATTTTGACCATGGTGATTTTGTACCAACACCGACTATCACGGCATAATAAAGGCTTGCATGCAAAATTTCGATCACTTTCAAGTGACAGTCATTGATTACTTTAAATGTGTTAATTAAAAGTTTCATGTATTTTCTTTAGTTTTTTTTTTATTTTTTCATTCCATTTTATATTATGCTAGACATGTACCTATTGTACGATTTTTTGTCGAAATGCCATTTTTCTACTCTACTTGTAAAAAAAATATTTGGCAACACTGGTCTGCCTACAAACGACGTATACCTTTAGTTAACATCTGAGACGCATAGATGACGCCATCGTTGCTGCGGTCGTTGCGTTTCCAATCTTTATGTCCCTAATCTCTGATGTTAATGTTATCAGTTGTATCGTTATTGTAAAAGTTGAATTGAAATAAATTGAGATACTAAAAACCTGCGTAACAATATTAAATTAAAGTGGAAAGAACACAATGAAAAAACGGGAAGAGTTGGGTATTAAATATAGAAAATTATACTAGTTGATGAATAGAAAATCAAAACTTTTAATATATAAACAAGTACTGAAGCCAGTACGGACTTACGGCATACAGCTCTGGGGATGTGTTAGTAAAACTAACATAAATATAATACGTTTCCAGAATCAAATATGAAGGGCAATAGTAAACGCCCCTTGGAATGCCTACAGTCGAAGAAGTGAGGAAAACCATCGCAAAAAAAACATGAAAAAGACAGCATGATCACGTCAATATTAAAGTTCTACAGTTCCTGGACAACCGAAACCTAATGAGAAAGCTCAGAAGGACCGAACTATTTGAATTAGTGATGTGAAAGTGTGTTAAAGCAGAGCACAGTGCGCATGTGAAGGGTATAGTTATCAGAACAGAAAGGAGAAGATACCATTGGGTGAACTCTTAGTTTTAGGTGCAATGACTAACAAAAAAATAAAAAAGAAAAACAATATCAACTTGAAATTTTCAGGAAAAATCAAGCTCTACAATGGAAAGAGAAGCCTATTCATTTTTAAAAAAATCTGAATAAAAATGTGGGGTTAAGAAGGTTAAAATTAAAAAAATTCATATATTAAAAACGAAAAACAATATCAACTTGAAACTTTCAGAAAAATCAAGCTCTGCAATGGGACGGAGGCTATTGATTAAACAAAAAAATCTGAATTAAAATGAGGGGTTAAGGTATGTTAAGCTGTGAAGAGTTTAATATAGAATGTCAATCATTTTATATCTTTATTTTAGTTTCTTTACTAATATTCGACACGACAGCTCCGACCAGGAGAATAATAAAATAATAAACTTTTAACAGAAAATTAATGATCGATTCCTACTTTGGATTTCCCACAGTTGGTCCCGAACAGTGAATTAACGAAAGTAATAATAATTAGTTTAAAACTCGGCACTAAAAGAGGAAGAGTTCGCTGGGGTCTCGGCTTAATACTTTTACGATCGGACCAGTTCGGGTTACGAGTGGTTTGGAGTATGAGTAGATAATGTTTATTTGTTTAGAGAACTAATCAAACGTCCTTTTGACTTCTGCCGAAAATGACCAGGTAAGTTACATGAATTTGATTATTTTAAACTTGATTGGAATTTCGGTAAAGAATGATAGATTTTGAACTACGGGGGTTCTCGCAAATGTTTAAAAACGGGAACTTTTAAGAAATAAAAATTACAGGGGTTCTTGCGAACGCTAAGGGGCGGAAATCAAGCGAACTAAACATTTTTATCATTACACGATAAGAAAAATCTCTGGTAAAATTATTTTTGTACGGCAGGTTTGTCATTATTTTAATAACTATCTACGTAAGAAAAGCCATCAAATTTTATTTTATAAAAAAACTTCGATTCTGAATCGGAAAGTTGTTTTTATATGTCATGGAAAATTGACGGCATAGCCCCTAGAGTTATACACTTTCAGATAGTAATATTTAAATAATACAGTTTGATAAAGGGTAAAATCACCCCCTAAATTTTACCTTGCCGGCTCCTAGTCTATTATAACATATTTAGAATTCTTTAGATTTACATCTCATGTGCAACATGTTTGTATTCTAAACCGAAACAGACTATTGAGAATAAAGTTGTCTATTTTGAGAATTAGGCTGGTCGAAAAAATCTAAAGCGTCTACTGCAATTCTCGAGTTATACAGTGAAAACAAAAAAAATCAATTTATTTTTGCATATTGATACTTTATTTAATAAAAAAAAGTAAAATGAAAAGTTTATTTGATACGATTAAATCTTCGATATCATCCTTTCGGTGTTATGATTTAGATTCTAGCAATGTTGACACATGATATGAGGGTCAGTCATATATAAACTGGATTGTTTGTTCTCGAAAACTGTATTGATCGAAATGAACTATCGTTCTAGAGTATGAAGGTAGGAATAAAGAGAGAGGATGCATACTGAAAAGGTTATAGCTAAGATGCCGGTATGTCGCGGTTCCAAAGATTTTAGAGCTTTGCCAATCAATTCTTACATTTAGATTTTTATTATCGTGGCTTCCTGATGCACTTTTCCTGGGCGTGCACGCACCGAATCTAAAGGGTGTGGACTGTATTTAAGGGCTGATATTTGAATATTCCGGTAGTTAGTACCGAATTGCAATTATTAATACAAGCATGTGTGTTAGTCGAAACGATACTATCAATTCTACTGATCACAACAAAATTTCGCTCAAGTAAGGTAGTACCTTCTTGGCTAAATATAATTAATAAAAATAATGATAATAAAAAAATTTAAATTAAAATATTGATATCTTGTTGTGATTAGCAGTAGCGTCATGTTCGGAGCAAGAAGTGTCACTGTCAGTTGCACACTATGTATTAATTAAGATTCTCACAAAAGAGGGGGTCAAATCCTCAGACATTTTAACTAGATTGCTTGCACAGTTCGGAGATACAAACAACGTTATCAAAAACTCAAGTGTACGAATAGTTCAGAAAATTTAAGGAAGGGCGTGAAGCCGTTGAAAATGAGTTACTATAGACGTCTACTATTAAGCGTAACAATGCTAATATTCGAGCGATATATGAACTAATCGAGAATGATCGGCGCCTGATGGATGAAATCGCGTCTGTTATGGGAGGGCCCATACCATTATCACAGACAGTCTTAGATTCAGAAAAATATGTGCAATATTTGTTCCACGACTGTTGACAGGGAATCAGAAGCAGCGTTGAATGGAAATCTGTCAAAGGCTTTTGGAATGATACGAACGAGAGGAAGATAAATTTTTACATCGTATAGTTACGTGTCCTGGGCACATCATTATACTCACGGATTCAAAATAGCGAGAATTGAGTGGTGAAGAAGTGAGGAACATTGTCCCGTAAAAGTTTTTGGACAGGAAAGAAATATTGCTAGTTGATTATCTTCATGAACGTCGTACTGTACATGTTCCATATTAGTGTCAGCTTTTGGATGAAACGAAAGCTGCATACAGATCCAAAAAACGCAGTACCCCAATCCGACATGTGATTTTGCTTCACGATAATTCTCGTCCTTACACAGTCCTTTTGACTACAGAAGAATTGGCTGAATTTTACTGGTAAATTTTGGAACATCCCCCCATAGACCAGATTTGTCGCCCAGCGACTATCTTTTGTTTGTGGACAACGTTTCGAAAATGACAAGGATGCAGAGCGGTCCGTGCGCAACTGGGTTGTTACACAACTAGGGTGACCTGGAGCCTATTTCATTAAACTACTTTGTAACTTTTCATTTTGCATGTAATAATCTGCAAAGTTAACGATATTATTTTACGAAAAACAAGTATTTTGTACTCGTAAAGTAAAAACTTGCAAACTAGTTTCATGAAATAGGTCCCAGATTTTGATTTTGCGAAACCGAGACATATGATTGAAAATATCTAGAAATTATTTTTATGGGCATAAAAACTACATAAATGCAAATTTTAATTTAAAAAACAAGACAATCTGAGGAAAACTGGACGCCTGGTCAACTTAGACACAACCCCAAACTTTTTATGAGGAAGGAATCAAAAAGCTTCCTACGCGTTGTCAAAAATGTGTAGATCTTCAAGAAGACTAGAAAAATTTTAAGATTGTTTTGTATTTTTATTTTGTATTCATTTTTATAAAAAAAAATCCTGCTTATATTTGATTGACCCTCGTATAAGAAACATCAAGTTTCGGTGTTTACTTAATTCTATCTTAAATTTATATTTTATACATAAAATATCGTTGCAAAGAAAAATGTTATCACTTACATCTAAATAAGTATCATTTTCATTATTTTCTTGTTGTGGTAGGATGTTAACATTGGTTTTCACATTATAAGGGATTTTAAACCTGCTCGGAATTAATGGACTCCTGAAAAATAGAATTTAATCTTTTAAAATATTTAGATATACAACGAAAAATAGAGATTGTTTATTAATGCGGGTCTTAAAAGTTTGAATGGATGATCAGGAAAAACTTGTTAGGGAATAGTTCCAATGTCTACCTATTCTAACGTAAGTTTTCCAGAGTTAATACAAATAATTTAGTATTAAATATTGTTAAAAATAATACCTAACAGATTTAAGGTAAACTGCATGCATTTGAGTATCCATGTCCTGAGTTTCGTCAGCAACAAAGCTGGCATCATATTTGTCTTGAGTTCCTGTATCAAATTCATCATCAGATATCACAATACTATCACATACAGATACATCAGCTTCATCTTCTATGAACTGGTTAATTAACTAAAACCATAAATGAATACAATATAGTCGGTTTCAAAAACCTTTGTTAATTCAAGCAACATTTTTTCAAGACATACAATGGAATTAGTCGAATTTGGCGCCAAGTTTAAAAAATAACTTTTAATTGATTATTTCAGTTAGGAATAAATATCTTTTAAAGAAACCAAATTCAATCGTTAAGCTGAATGTTAATGACAAATGACAGCGGTTTTTTCTAAGAAAATATAATGCCGAGTGATAATATTTTCAGAAATTGCTTTTAAAAATAGGTTCAGAGTACGGAAAAGAATATTGAAAAGTATATAATTTGTTTTACTTTTAACGCATAATATTTAAATAAGATACAGGGTGTTTCTAAATTCATCCGACAAAATTCAAGAGGTGATTGCTCGTATGAAATTAAGATGGGTCTTTCCTATAACAAAATTTCCTCAGCCCATCCCTTTCCGAGATATCACCCTTAAAAGGTCATGACTAAAATTGAGTTTTTATTTTTTTCTAAAATTTAGAGGGGCGTGAAATTAGCAACCCTTACTTTATTTCATATCAAAACTCTTTTTCGAGATGAAGTTTTACGAAATAACATTATAACTTGAAATCCTTGTTTTATTTAAAAATTGAAAAAGAATAAGAAATCAATATGATGGCGTGATAAAGAAAACGTGATCATGCTGCTGGAAGGGCATATGTAAGCAAAACCGGAAAATACGTATCGGATAAAAAACTGAAAATGGTTTGCTCCCGTCGCCTAAAATGTAACCTATGGTTATCAGAAGAAACAAGAACGCAAAATTATAAAAACTACTGGGATGAAAACAAAGATGTCAATTTAAAAAGGCAGTTCCTACTATCGTGCGTAGTGACCTACATCGAGACAACGACTGAGAACTGGTGATGCATCTAAACTAAGATCTCAAAGTTTAACGTACTTTTTCACTGTTGACGGTAAGAAAAAAAAAAGTATGTAAACCAATGTTCCTAAACACGTTAAGTATCTCTCAAACGACTATTAAGACAGGAAGGTGGCTTAGTGCAAGAAGATAATCGTGGTAGACAACCTAACATCAATGTGCAAAATTCTGATTTTTATGAAAATTGTTGAACTAAAAGTTGTTTGCGATATCGATCTCTATACTTTTTGTTTATACATGATTTTTCTAAAATGGACCGTAATGGAAAAATTGTAGGAAAAGTGCTAAATTTAAATTTTTCAGTATTTTCGTTTTCAATGAATATCTATAGAAAAATGTTTCGAGGTAGGGAAATAAGGGAAATGTATATATTTAGTTTAGCCTCTAAACATTTATAGAGGTGCTGCAATAGGTTGTACAAAATAACCAGAAAAAGCCTATAATAACTAGATAGGAAAGTCATGTGTTGGACACATCAGATTTTTTTAGGATTTAGAGGTAGTGAATTATCAAGACCGCACACTTTACAATGTCAGACAAACACTTTTGAAGTCGCAAGCAATGGTTAACAGAACTAATTTCAAGTATTAATTTTAGGTCGTCGGCATACATTAAAACTTTAATATGCTCGATATTAGCCACTGTATAATTTATAAACATTATGAATAAAAGGGGACCTAAAATTGATACCTGCGGGCTCCTGATGTTTGTTCGAATATTTGAGACCTGTAACCACGACATTGAACATATTGATGCCTATCCAACAAATACGAAGCAATTAATTGAATGAAGTTAACTTATGGAGCAAGATGGAATTATCAATTTTGTAGAAAGCCTTGGAGAAATCTGTGTATATTACATCAAAATGACTTCTCCTATCCAAGGCTTCCGAAATGAATTGCGTCGAACATACAAGGTTGTAGATCTATTTTTCATGAATCCATGTTGGTCACTAGTTATAAGACGGGAAACGTGATTGGAAATACGATCGTGAATAATTATTTCGAATACTTTAGCAAAATTGCAAAGAATACTTATTACAAAAAACATTTTTGCTATCTTTATTGTGTACCGGAGTAATTCTGGAAATTTTCTAGGAAGTAGGGAAAAAACATGTTTTCAAAATTAAACCAAAAATATGTTTCAAAGGAGTGGCCAAAATTAGTGCACACTCCCTGACAAGAAACGAAGGAATAAGGTCAGTACCCATTGACATATTGGACTTAAGCTTTTATAGGGCTTTAATAACTTCATCTTGAGATACAGAATTAAAGTGAAGCAAAGGTAAATTAATGGTAGATTCATTGATGAAGTGGTTTATTTGAGTTGGCTTGGAGAAAAGTGATCTGCAAAAGCTTGGACAATTGCTTGTGGATCTTCTATGTATTCATTATTATATTCAACAGTAGTGGGTATGGAATAGGAAGAATTTTTGGAATTTAAGTATGACCAGAATTGTTTTGGATCATTTTTAATATTATTTTCAATTGTTCTTAAATATGAGGAGCGAGCTATAGAAATGTCTTGTTTAATTTGGTCTCGAAGGTTCTTAAATTTAGTAAATGTATCTATGGAATAAGCGGATTTCTAGGTTTATCGGCCTTTTTCTTTTTGACGAATCATGCGTATTATATGACCATTAAACCAAGGAGGGTAGGTCTTAAAGTTAGTTTTTTTTAAGAGATATGTGCTGATTAAAAGTAATAAACAATTTATTGTTCAATAGTTGAACACTTTCATCAACACTGCTTACGGAATCAAGAAAAGTCCAATTGATATTGAGTAGTGCGTTGTATAATTTTTGGAAAATCTGCTTCTTTGTAACTATACAGCATGTGCTCTGATCTACACTGTAAGCTCTTAACTTTAATGGGGACATCAATACACAAAGAGGGTTGATAATCATCTGCATCTAAGATTACTTCATCGGCTTTATATATGCTGAATTGGAGAAAACTAAGACAAGCAGACGATGATATGTATTTTTTATCAAATTGAATTGATGCGAAAAATGGGCGGGAGCACCATCTAGCTGCAGCAACATTTTTCAAGTAATATCCAAAGGAATATCCTCTAGAAGGTTCCAAAATCTTTCTTCAAAAATGTTCTTTTATTTAAATGGCCATAAAAAAAGTAGAGCCTCGCCAACTGTCTTCCTCCTGTTAACTAAACTGAGTTTACAGCATTCTTTGTACAAGCCGCCCATAGGGAATCTTTATTAAAGTAAGATTTTTAGTGGTGGGTCGCATGAAAAAGTCGAGGAAAAGTGTATTACGCATGCGCATTATTAAATTAACTAATTTGTCTGAATTTCTTACAAACAAAGGCAAAATATAGTTTAAAAAAGAAGAAACGGCAAATGATTACTGACTTTAATATGATTGAACAATATTTTCGAATTTTTATTTCATATCTTATTAAAATAAACACGTGAAAAAAATGACAAAAAAAAAACAAAGAATGGAAGTATTTTACAAATGATTTGCCTAAAAAAACGAAAATACAAATATAGTTCTCAAACTGTTTTTGAAAAAAAAAAACATCCAGAATGGAGATTTAACTGTCTGTCTTCTATGTCTATGCCTACTTTTCATTACTTTTCAGGACATGTCCATGGGACTAGTCCAAAAATTACTTTTCATGAAAAGTCCCATTACTATTATTTTTAGTGATGGGTCACTTGGAAAAGTCCACGGACAAGTCCGACGGACTAGTCTGAAAAGTTGACTAATCCAAACACTTTTCAAAAGTGGAAAGGTGTATTGCGCATGCGCGAAATTAAATGACTACTAACTTTTAACAATGTTTTCGAATTAGTATTTCATATTTTATTAAAATAAACTAAAAAATGACCAAAAAAGCAAGTATTTTACAAAGAAAACGAAAATACAAATGAGAAATATTTTTCCCAGTTTTTGAAAAAAGCATCCAGGATGGAGATTTAACTGTGTCTTCTATGCTCAAGGTCGACTACTCTTCATTACTTTTCTGGACATGTCCGTCGGACTAGTCCAAAAATTATTTTTCATGAAAAGTCCCATTACTAATTATTTTTAAAAATTGACCTTAATATTAAAAAAAAAAACTTTATATTAGTATTCTGGTTTGGTATATATGAAAATAATTTTAAATTAATGTAGTCGCCACTGAGTTATATATTTGTGCCAAAGGAATTTTTAATATATTTTGTAGTTTTCCCACCAGGTTCCGACCCGTTTAGCGTGGCGCACCCAGTAAAACTGTACCAAACCAATAAATATGAAAATAATCACAGGATAATTATATCCAAGAGTATTAAAAAGGCAGCTAAACAAAAACTAGAACCACTGTATATCTTTTAATGAAAGTACGATATGATGTATGTTATATTAACAAGTTTACAAATTAAAAATTTAAAAAAACCGACTTCAAAAAAGTGCAGATGCCATCACCACATCTTAACCAAATTTATATGGGACCACCCCTGAGGTACCCCCTTACTAACAAAAAAAGAATCGTATAAATCGGACAAGGTGGTAAAGCATTATCGCTAAACATACATAAAAAATGAAGAGTTTGAGGATTTCCTCATACATACAATTATTAGATTTTGACCAAATTTATATGGGACCACCCCTAAAGTAGCCCTTTTCTAACAAAAAAAGAATTATTGAAATCGGACACCGTATTAAAGAATAATCGCTGAACATACATAAAAAAAAAAAAATATCGCGACGAATTGATAACCTCCTCTTTTTTTGAAGTCGGTTAAAAATATGATGTAAGTGCTATTAAAAGATAACTAATATTTGCTTACTTTCTTCCTTTTAGGTTCGTGTGCAACATCATCTCTATTCAAATTTGGTTTCTTCCGTGCTTGGGATCTATATGTAAGAGGGCTAACAGAACTGCTTTCGAAATCGCTGTCCGAATCATTATCTGAATTTTTTCTTTTTTTTACAAATTGTTTAGGTCTTAACCATACTGGACTTTTGGGCTTGGTATCAAATTCATCCTCACTAAGCGATTTAGTTGAAATGTTATTAGATTTATTTGTATCAACAGTTTTGGATTTGTTAGGCCCACAACGTTTAGGAAATACGCTTAGTGATACAGACTCATGTGATGTATTCACAGAACTTCTACTAGAGTTAAGAGATGTGTTGGATGATATATTAAGATTTGCTTTAGAAGAATCATTTAATTTCGCTTTGGTATGTTTTGGTATCTTTTCAGATGAAATATGTTTATGAACTTTCTTATTCAAACCAAACTGAAAAAAGTCAAAATCATCATCTAACACATTGTTTTCAACATTTTCTTTTTGAGATGATTTATTGGGCTGAGTTTGTTTAATAATTGTAGATAATGTCTGTGTTACTGTTATCTGTGAAGTTGCACGATAATTGCTTTTATTTTTCATTGTCATTTCAATCTTTTGATTTAATTGTTTTGAAATTTGAGATGGGTTACTGGACTGAGTTGGTTTATTTATTGTAGATAAAATCTGTGTTACTGTTGTCTGTGAAGATGCACAATCGCTTTTAGTTTCCATTGTTTTAGTGTTTTGATTTAATTGTTCGGAAACTAGATTAATATTTTTATTTTCTGCACCTTCAATGTCTAGTTCCCTAGTTTCATTGATGAAATCTAATGATTTCGTGGTTTTAATATTTATTGTAGAGTGTGAAGTTTTGATTTCAGTAATATCACAGATAGGTTTAAAGATTTCTAAAAGATCCTCATCAACAAAATCATCTAAATGAGAAGTATCTATATTTTTAGTGTTTTTCTCAGGAACATTTGAATTAATTTTGGAATTTTGAGACGAAGTTTTCATTAAAGGAGTTTCACAGAAATCGTCTGGACTAAAACTATCAGCCATTGAAATTATTTTCGTAAATCCGGATTTTTCAATATTACTTGTTGGTAAACCAAAACTTGAAAAATCGAATAAATCTTCTAATTCAATTACATCAGTTTTATTGGGTTCCAAAAACTCTTTACTTCTTTGCTTTTTTAAAGAATTGGGATTTGATTTATCTGTACTTTTCAGAGTAGTCTCATTTCTAGGAACCTTTTGGGTCAAAGGAGTACTTGTTAATCCTTTTCTACTAAAAGTGGTTAGAGAAGGTGAGCTAGTTTCTGGTAATTTTTTTTTTATATTATCTTGTGTATGACTCCTCACTGTTGGTTTATTTTTTTTAGCAGTAAACGTACATAAAATGGGAGAACATGAATCATCACTGTTGCTTTGATTCTGAACTGGAGTTTTCAATTGTTCCCTCTGTGTTTTAACACTTTCTTCAAAGAGATCTGGGGAATATGTGATGGTTTCTTGAGAATCAGGTATAAAATCTTCCTCAAAAATATCATTTAAATGATCCAATTTAAAGAAGATTAGAATACATTTAATGTCGGCATCAGAAAATATTTTCTTAGATTTTTCTTCGGTAGAATCATTTTCTATTTTATTTGTATTTTTTTCCGAAATGAATTGTTCATCTATTATAGAAGTACTATACGTGTTTAACAAATTACTTAAAGATTTAGGTGCTTCGTAATTTGCAGTCTTATTGCAAAAATCTCCCAAAATACTATTATCTATCAGATCTCCTAATTCTAAAACAATTTCCTTACTAATATTATTAATAGGTATATCAGGAACTGAAAAATCTAAAGTCTCTTCAAACTGAAAACTATCATCTGACTTATCCAATCCTTTTTCAAAGAGTTTTAAATCATCCACAGTAACAGAGGTATATACAGAAGGGTCAAGTTCTATCCAATTTAGAGTAGTTGCAAAACAATTTTTATAAGTATTTTTTTCACACTTAAACTCTGTTGGACAAATATTGCATTTTATTGAATTTGTATCACAGCAAATTGACAAAAAAGTTGTGATCTCCGTCAAAAGTCCTGGAAAAAGATTTTCTTCTGTGACGATTGGAATCTCAGGAATTGTTGGAATTTGTGTAGGGGATATGTCAAAATCCTTGGCACTTTGTGATTTAAAGAACATATTCCGTATGTCCGTTTGCTTTAATTGCTTATTATTAGACGAATTACCTGAAAATTATGTGAACTTATAATAAACGACTTTCATAAAAAAAGATCTAAAGACTCACTTATTTGAGTCATCGGTATATTGAATCTTCGCGACTCCGCAATTTGAAGTAAATTAACTAATAATTTACAATTTTCAGAATGACTAATTTTATGAGTTTCTTGAAAACTTCTCTGCTTCTCTATTCTTTTAGCAAACGTATTAGAAACAGAAGTGTTGTCACTTAGCGCATTTGCTAAAAAAATAAAAATTGTATTAAGTTTTTTAAATCCATTTAGGTTAATTACAATTTCAACTTTAGAACAAGTATTTATTCTTACCTGTAGTAGCCAATAACTGTGATTCTGGAATATTTTTTTGATAATCAGTAATTTGTAAATTCGGTGAAAATGAAGGTTCAGAAGATTTGGATGATAGCGTTCTTAACATATCCTAAAAAGACGAAAAATTTATGAATTTGTGCAATAAACTGGACATATACCCAGTAGTAATGGAACGGACTAGCAATGACAGAATTTTCGGTTGAAAATATGAAGCTTTGACAAAAATTACCTCAATAAAATGTTGCAAAATAAAATAGTTTAATTTGGTTAAACAGATTTTAATGAATTTTTTTAGTTAGTGGTGAAATTTTTAACCTAATCCACTAGAGGGTTTCTACTACTCCAGATAGAACGTTACTTGGAAATAACTTTTTGTCAACAAACAAATATGTATTTCTGAAGCAAACAAAAATCTGAATAAAAAAAGGTATTTTACTTAAACTTGAGAAGTCTAATCGCTTAAAAAAAATTAAAATAAATAGTGTAATGAAAACTGTAATCATTCCCTCTCTCTGCAAAAAATAAATTGGTAGTTTCCAAGTTATCGAAACTAATAGCAATAAAGAAACGAGAAAGTTTGATTTTGAACGAAATACTAAAGGCTTCATATTGCTAGCTTTGGGTTTTGTCGTCTTTTGATTAGATTTTTCAAATTAAACAATTTGTGTAAACATATTTGGGATTTTTAACCCGAATGCCCCTGTAAAAATAATATTTGGACCCTTTGCCCCCTTTTTTTAATATCAAAAGCTCCATTCTGGAATTCATTAAAATTGATGCAAAAAACATTGCTACTTAGCCATCTTGTATGTTATTCACAAAAGATCCATATTATTTATTTTAACTTAAAATAATTATTTTACTTCAATTGCAATGAATAAACACTCGAATGACAGCAATATAAAAAAATATGTCTGTGGTAACAGAGTAATCTATTGAAATCGTGATATCCAGTACCCGTATCATAGTGCATAAAATAAGCTCCATAAGAAATTTTTATTATTATTATTAAAGATCAGTAAGCGGTAAAACCGATGAGACTGATCTAGCATTGAAAAGTCACATTCATTAACTACATTGTAACGCCCCCCCCCCCCCCCGTACCCCATTTTGTTCGTTGTTTTAACGTCTGAAATCTTATTATTTACCTCACACGTTTATTTTACTTCAAATTCTATACTTACTCTATTTGGCCTATAGTAGTAGAAATGATCGCCTAGTTAATTAATTGATAATTTATATACCCACGTTGTGTTAATTAAGGTAAACCAGGATTCGATGCAAAGTTTGGTGCAAATTGATAAATACAACCACTTAAATTTATATTTATATTCTTTTAGTTTTCATGCTTTAAATGTGATGCAATAATTAGCAAAGTATATTACAATTAATATGAACTATTTACTGAGATCTCACTGGAGTCCCTTTCAAACGCAGAACACGTTCATTTGCTATAAAGATATATTTCAATTCACCAGTTGGGTAACTACTGTGTTGATGTTTATATTTTTATTTAGCTTAATTCTACTCTAGATATACACAGGTTGTACCATCCTAGGTAATTATTTCGACGAGTATAGAGGTGATGACCAACGGAAGTAACGAACAGCGTCAATTTGCCAGTTGGTTACCTTACTATGTTGATTTCACATATACTTTGTTTCAAACCTAGTAGAATGGGTGGCTTAGTATAAGGTGCCCCCTTGAGCTAACGAACAGTGTCCATTCACCAGTTGGTTAACTTACTATTAAATTTTACCATCTCGGTTTGTACAATTTATCCAAGATAATCCCTGTATATTTCTAAAGTATTCATTTTTATTATTTCTACTGAAATGACTTAAACTCACTCATCGAAAAACAGATGTCTAACCTAACTGTCTTTCGGGGTGAATGCTCGAAAGCCATGTGTTTTATTGGTTACATTGATATTTTGAAGCAAATGTCAGGCCCTTATTCATTGAAAATAGAGACATTAGATTCGTCTATACTAGACATTATGTACTAATTGTATCTAGCGTTGTGACGGCGTCGATTTAGGTACGTCGCAGCCTTAAGCGTCACCTTGCGTCGAGGCGCCTAGCGTCGTGGTGGAGAGGAAAGTATTTCTTACGGTACTAAGTCGGGACAGATATACGGTAGAAAGTACTTGGTGCTGCTGCTGCGTGACAAAGGGTGTCGTCAAGGATATTATGAAGGAAATATTTAGGAACGGCAAGCGTCGGGAAATAGGAGATATAGGAAGTATTGTAGGATAGACGTCGGTTAAGAAGAGCGTCGATTTAGGGAAGGTACTGAATACTGAATATAAAATAATAATCTGAATTCTACATAAAATCATAATGAAAAAAAAAAAAAACTCGAGCTCCCTGGGTTCGGGTCTTTTCGTAGTTCAGCTGGAAACCAATTTTTTTTGGGTGGAAAATGGGTGGTAAATTTATTATGTGCCTTGAGAACTTCTCGGAATTTTGTATCGAAATATTGTCGTCTTAACATAGAAACTAGAAAGAGGCGAATTAAGTGTTTTAATGATGATTACTTCGTGAAAAGAAATATGCTTATGGAGGTTTCTCATCTAATAACTTTTTATCTTTTCTGTAATATTAGAGACACTGCGAACAGAAATTTTGCTTTTAATTATAACGAAGATTTTTCGTTAAATGTAGGAATTTGAATTTATTAAGAATGCAACTTTTCTTTAATAAAATGGAATTAGTTAATTATGAAGGTACCTGGGTGAGGTAGATTACAACATAGTACATAATATAAGGATATAACAGAGCGGTTATCACAATACATTAACCTATATCAGTTTATCACAGAAGTTCAACTGAAGAGTGGAAGTAACAAAGGTGATAAGTGCCAAAAATTTATATTTTGAGATAATTAAGAAAAAAATAATAAAACAACATAAGCTTAAAACACGGACAATCAGTTTAGAACCAAAAAAACCAGTTAAATATATAAAACTTATCGAAAAAATATTTCTGAAGAAAAATAGAAACGTGATAAGTGTCAACACAAAATTATTAATTTGAAAACATTAACAAAGCGTCTTATTTACTGTTCTGCTGCTTTCAGCGTAATTTTGAGCCACTTATTTTACTCCTAGTAGCTTATTGTAAAAAAATTTGTGTAATGGATTTGTAGATAATGCATTATAGAAATCAAACTTTTTTGTTTTCATAAATTTTGTTTTCAGGCGAAAGTACATGTAGTCCGGCTTTTCTTAATTTTTTTTTAAAGACATTGATCTCGTTTCATGGAATCAAATCTGAAAAGGCTGTCCTTGTTTTTACAATTTTCTGTTCTTCACTAAAACTTCAACTACCGTTACTAGTTTTTACATTAGGGTCGTTTATAATGTTTTAAAAACAACAAGACTAAAGCCTGTATTATATTTAACTGGCAGTAGAAGGCCAACACAGAACACATGGCGAATAGCACTTGTCACCTTTCTAAGGAAATAGATCAAGCTCTTAATCTTGGGATGTTTATACAAAGTGTATTACGAGGTTTGGCACTTATCACTTTTGTCAGGAGTATAAAGAGTGGTACATAGCACCGGTCTATGTACCAAAATAAAAAAATTTGGCACTTATCCACTTTGTAACTTCCACTCTTCAATTGGTATAGTGGACCATGATGTTTGAAGCATTTTTCAATTCTTTATCTAGACGATTCTTGAACTGGTTAACTGAATTCGATACGATAGTGTCCTCTTGCAAGTTGTTCCAAGTATATACCCTCGGAGGCTTAAATAATTTTTTCTTTGGAGCTTGTTGCATTTTTCTTTTTCCAGCTTTTTGAAATGCCCTCTGTGTTCTAATTTGATAAACATGAAAAATATTTTCAGGAGAGTAATTCCCACTAGTCCATTTGAACGTTTCAAACAGGTGACACCTATGGAGTTTCAGAATGGAAAGCCTTTCCAAATAACTACAGCCCTTTCTTTGGACTTTTTCCAAAATTTCTATATCTTTAACAAAATATGGGTTTCAAACTGGCATTGCAAATTCTATTTTGAGTTTTTTTTTTGTAGTTTGGAGATAATTTCCTTTGCAATGGACCTTTCCCGTTATTGATGATATCTACTACTACTGCGCAAATTCTATTTTCGCTTAAAATCATCAAAATTTATTGTTATGTTTTCTACCCTGAGTCACCCTGAGTTCCAACAATTAACATCCGCAAATGTCATTTTGTTTTTGAGTTTGACAGATGCAAGGCGAGGATAAGAAAGAGATAGCAGAAAGTGTTTGGAAAATTACTAGATTCAAAAGTCCCGCTCTTTTTTCGGGCATGAGTAATGCGAAATTGTCGAATAATGGAAAAGGTCAATTCTGATTAGTCTCTTCCACAGGTATAGTCTGAAGAACATTAAAGCGTCTCCCCGAAGGGCGATTGTCAGATTTACGGCCTTTTCTCTATTAGACCATTCGTTTACCCTCGCAGCTGTCTCGAACTGTTTAAGGTAGTTGGTCCATGACATCTTTCCGTCGAAGGTTGGGGCTTTAACACGAGCAGAGAAACTCCTTCTCCAATTTTAACTTCGACTCCACCTTATGGCACTTTATTTCAACATCCTTGACCGGTTCTGAATGTTCCAGTTCGTCTATCTTCTTTTCCGCCCCTTTTATTTTCTCCTCAACGGAAGACACCCTTTCCTCTAAGGAAGAAATATTAGACGAAAATTTAATTTCCATAGAAGACATTTTGTTTTCCAAGTCGGAAGAAATTTCATCTTTTAAAGAAGAGATACCAGAAGAAACTTTAGTTTCTAAAGAAGAAATTTCGCTTTTCACGGAAGATACCTTTTCTTCTAAGGAAGAAATTTTAATAGCTAAGGAAGTAATGTCAGAAGAAATTTTAGTTTCCATGGAAGAAATATCGGTTTTTAAAATAGACATTTTACTTTCCATATCGGAAGAAATTGAAGAAATTATAGCAGACGCATCATCCGAAAATAGAAACGTTTCCGGATCCAAACCTTCATTTTCTATGGCTTTTTTAAGTCGTTCTGCCAGCTCTGATTTCTTTCCTGTCTTCTCCAGTTCACGTTCTTCTAATTCCCAACGCAGCTCAGGCACTTTTAAATCACACAGCTTTTTAGCCATGATTGTCCACTACTTATTTAAAGTTCCACTTCTAACACCAATGTAACGACAGTCTAATTTATTTATTGTTTATTTATTTAAAACACACTATTTACAATTTATTTATGACGTACTAATTAATTTATATAATACTTAGGCACTAACTCACAATTCTAATTTATTTATTACGATTTAACTTTTCTGTCTAACACTTTTTACTAAACTAAACTGATCGCTGATAAGTTGGCTATTTATACCAACTCTGCTACAAGAAGTCTCTAGACGCTCCCGAAAATTCCATCTCCGATTCAACCGCACGTATCGCCCGTTCTGGCCGTTTCTCGAGCGTCAGCAGCATTCCTAGTAGTCCAATCATTATAGTAAGTTCACCTCGGAATTCGAGATACCCAGCTGTAAGTCTGTAAATACTTGTATATTGACACCCTAAAAGTTGTCTCAAAACCTACATATGGTAGGGTGTACGCATCTATTAAATTTCAAGGTCAAAGGTCACAAAAATCGGTTTTTTGCGCTTTTTTTGTAAATATCTCATTTCCTATGAGTTTTTTGCTATTTGCATTTATTATCAATATTGTAGAATACAAAATTCTCTAAAAATTTTGTTTAAAAAAATTTTTCATACGGTGAACCGTTTTCGAGATAGATGACGGAGAGCGCGCAGTCACAGCATCACTTCAGGTCAACCGGTGCCTCCGGTCGAAAACGCGCCATATATAGTTGATGAAATATCGATAAATTAATGATTATAAATATTTGTCAATTTTTATTAACTATTTTATTATATTTTATCATTTTTTTTCCTAACCTATCCACTTTTTATTTAGTATTAATTTATTTAACAACACTTACCTGCCCATGTAATTGCAAAATTGTTAATGAAAATATAGGAATTATATTTGAATTTTAACCTAATTAATATTAATAAATTCTTACATGATAAAAAAAAACAAATAAATTATGAATTAATCTTTTTATTAAAAAATTTCATTCAATACATTTATTTTTATTAAAAGTAAAAAAATGGAATAAAAGGTACAAAAACTACAATTTATAATTTTAATAATCTTCTTCCTCTTCATCGTCGTCTTCCGGCTGCTGATAAATTTCAAACTGGTCTTCATTATCGTCTTCAACGACATTTCTCTCAAGTTCTTCCATGATTTCGGGGTCAAAGGTTCCATCTTCGTTAATGTCGCTCTGATATGGAAGAGCATTGAGACAAGCTTGCCCATTACATTGGCCACAAGCTAAAGAGCATTGCAAGCCCGCTTTCCTGCATCCGCATCGCGAACCACAACCACTCTTGCAGTTGCAGAACATTGTATTTAGCAAATCTTCTGGAGCAGGTGGTAAAATTGTCATGATAGGCTCCAGAAAATCGTTTCGCATTGCCCAACTCCATACCTGGGGTTCCAAATCATGCCTTAACCAAGTTTGAACTTAATAATATACACGTTTGAAAGGTTGATGAGCAGCTGCTTTTGTTGGTGGAATATTTGAAAGCTGCACAGGTTAATTAAGTTTTGTAGACTTGACGTAATGCATATAACGAAGATGATCGAGACTTTTCACAGATTTCGGAGCATTATAGACTGCCAATAAGATTTGAGTTCCACTCTCTAATAATCTCTGGGCCGAACAATTTTCTTTCTCAAATGCTGCAGCTAGTTCATTCAAATTTGTCAGTTTCTCAAAAACTTTAAAAAATGATTTTTTCCCTTTTTAAAAAGCGCAGAAGTTGTGTCACAGCCACTTAATGCGTGCAGAAATAAAATATGTGTTTTGGAATGAGGATAATTATCAAAACTTTTAGTCAAGTATATCCCCGTTTTTACATTTCCTTTCCCAACTTTTTTAAAGAAAATGTCTTGTTCGTAAGACAGTGTACGCCCAATTAAAATGACAAGTAAATCAATATCTTGTCCTATTATAACTGCAGTTTTTTCAGAATTTGATTCTTCAATTGCAGTTTCAACAATAAGAACATCAGCATTATCTCTGGCTTGTTTAGTAGTAATATTTGCAGCTTGTAATTTTTCAATTAACATATTAATGAGCATATCTTTGTTATTTCGATTTGATAAGAATTTTTCTTGAGTAACTGGTACAACTATTGTTTCATCTTCTCTGCTGCTCCATAGCTTTTACGTTCTTACTGTAATCTGAATTTTTTTAAACAAAATTTGTAGAGAATTTTGTATTCTACAATATTGATAATAAATACAAATAGCAAAAAAACCCATAAAAAATGAGATATTTACAAAAAAGCACAAAAACCGATTTTTGTGACATTTGACCTTGAAATTTAATAGTTGCGTACACCCTGCCATATGTAGGTTTTGAGATAACTTTTAGCGTGTCAATATACAAGTATTTACAGACTTACAGCTGGGTATCTCCAGTTCCGAGATTCTTACCTAATTTAAGCTTAAATGACTGGACTATAGAAGATTCCGTCGTTTCGAGCATGAGTCGGCAAGCTGAAGGTCACTCGCTTTAGACATAGACGGCTTAGGAATTTTCATGACTTTACTATGTCACCATTTTGATTTTGAATACCCATTTATTTTTACAATATTTTTATTAGATGGCATATCAACTAGTTCCCAAGTATTATTAATTTTAAAAGCATCTAGTTATTTTTTAATAGCCAGTCCCTATTAATTTTTTCTTGGACTATATAATGCCTCATAAATAGCTACAGGTTCAAAATCCAAAACAATTACAATCCTCATCTACTATACCATAAAATGTTGGTTTGTGTAATTCGTTTTGGATACCTACTTACAATATTATGATTAGGGCTAGAATTCGATATCTGTTAAATCGCCAATTTGGTCTTCATCCGGAAAATTTGAAGTCAACCAACAAATATGTATTGGTTACTCTTCTCGTCTAGCTTTTTCCTTCTTATTTCGGGTATGTGGGCGGTATTCAAATATCTTCAGGTGACTTAAACAGATCTTTTTTCCGCTCCATATTTCTTCCGAAGTGGCACCACGAATTTTTTTAGTATGAGACCTGTTAATCAAATACACTGCAGTGTTGGTCGCTTTGGCCCACATTTCTTTTTCAGAACTATATTCAGTCAGTCAGTTTTCAAAAATAGTACGATTATATCGTTCTGCCACACTATATTGTTGTGAACAAAACGGTACTGTAAGTTCGTGTTTTGTACCACTTCTTTTAAAAATCTATCCAAATGTTTGTTGCAATACTCGCCTCCATTATCTCAGTCTGAGTTTCCACAAAAACACAAATCTTCAAAAATATCTGCTACTTGGCTTTTCGTTTTCAAAAAATAACAGAACATTTTTCTTGAGTGATCATCTATAGTAATAAACATAAATCTTGCACCACCCCAGGATTCTACCTACATGGGTCCAACGAGGTGGGAATGTATTAAATCTACTTTATTCCTAGCTATGCCCTTTATTTTGTTATATGGAAAAAGCTTTCTGGCATGTTTACCTTTGATACAACTTTCACAATAAATGGGAGTTTCTGAATCCCTATAATTTATACCAACTGCAAGTCAATTTTTTAAAAGACTCATGCTGTAGTGGTTAAGATGACCTAGCCTTTTGTGTCATAGTATTTGCGAATCAGTTGTTTTAACAATATTTACCATGTAATCCAGCGTGTCAAGCTTGAACAATCCATTGGTATTTGAGGCAGTAGCAGGTTTTTCTTCAATAAGGCAATCTTCTTGATGAAAGGTTACACCGTATCCTCTGGATATGAGAGCATTAAGAGACAAAAAAATTACTGATAAGTTTGGTACAAACTTTACACCAGAAATAATTTCTAGTTTCATCTGTTTTCAAGGTGAATCTTGAATTGCCTACTCCTTCAACGTTTAATTTTGTATTATTGACTACAATAACTTGTTGGCCAGAATGCCGTTACGTTTGAGGCTGGCGATCGTAAATAGACTAGAATGTTTCTTTGTACGCAGCCCGACGCGTGGAGGAAGGATGTTACGAACACATCGATATTCTTCTAGTCACGATTGGTTTTTCTTTTTGTATATAAGTAAATTATTTTGAGGTACTAAGGGAAGTTTTAAAATAAATGTTGTCGAATAAAGATAAATTGTTAGATAAATTAGAAGAGTGAAATATAAATAGTGCTTAAGTATAAATAAATTAATTAGTACTTAGTGTAAATAAATTATAAATAAACTGTTTTAAATAAAGAATTTTTAAAATAAACAAACGATACATTATTATTGAAAGTTTATATCAAAGAAGGGCAGGTTGATTTATAAAAATAGAATTTGGTTAACCTAGTAATAATGTTGTTTTGGTCCTTATTTTCCATTCTAAATCAACACAAAATAATTAAAATACAATACACGACAAAATAACCCATTTTATTGAAAACTAAATAACTTTAACAAGCAATATAAACACACTAAAACAAGTCGTTGAGAATAAATATGATTTTATATTTTTCAATAAAATGCATGAAGTTATGCATATCCAACTAACAATACAAGAAAGTAATATTGGTTGTCTAGATGTCAGTAATTCTTTATCAGAACACAATTTAATAAATGATCTAGTCAAAATTAGAAAAAATATTGTATGTAACACGTTACGAAATGCCGTTTTATGTAACACGTTCATGTTGCGGGACCTAGCTGTGCTCGTCCCGCAAATATTCACTCATTACATAAATTAAGGCATTTCGTAACAGGTTGCATACATAGCTATTATGTAAGTGATTAAGATTAATTTTACCTTTAAGGTACTACCCTTCTTTGCAACAGGTTTTTCCACTGTAATGAAAATCTTCTCACATTTTGGAACTACTCCATCAGGTACCAACCTCGGGCATTCTCCTTTTAAACAATTTACCAAGTGCTTGGAACCCAAAACATGATTTGCCACATTATTTTTGTGAATAAGACAATCTTTCAAGGTTTGTTGTTCTTTTCCTTCTGTTACTAAAACTATAATGTTTCCATCTTTTTTTCTGCCAGTACGGCCCATTCGTTGAACCATGCGGATTGGAGATTTGTTGGAAATATCAAAACATATTATTAGGTCCACTTCTCCCACATCTAAACCTTCTTCTCCTATAGATGTAGAAAGAAGAACATTGCAGGTACCCTCCCTAAATTGTTTAATTACCTATATTAAATAAATAATCAGAATTTTTCTTAACAACTTAGGCCCGTATTTATAAACAGATCTCAGGTGAGTTCGACTCAGCTGAGTCGCCCTTGAACGAAAATTGAAGTTCAGTAATAACTTCTTTATTGTTGCAGGTGGTTCCAGTGTTGCACTGGAATTTAGAGATGGACATTAGCAAATCCGTAACTATTAAGTTCATATAAGGATTTATTACTACCAATCTCTAAATTCACGCGATATAACTGAACTTTGATTTTCTTTCGAGGACGACTCTTCTGAGGCCGACTTATGAGATGGGTTTATTAATACAGGCCTTAGTATGGGGACTGTTTTGTAGTAGTTACAAAAAGATAAGTATTTAATTATAAAAAATATATATTTTGTTAAAAATATTCCCTAAACTTTAAACCACTTTTCTAAACATTGGTAACCCGTTTGACTCTAAATTCATGAAAATAACTAACTATAAATATTTACAGACTCAATTATAAAAATAATGAAAAATAAAAGATCATTCAAAAAATTCAATTTATAAATGTTCTTCATTTTTTGTTGTAGGCCTGAAGATAGTATTATAGAGCGTAATCGTCTAGCCTTTAAATAATTTTGTCATGGTAAATATTGAATCTCCCCATTTTAAAAATAGATTCGAGTTTAGTTTTGAAAATAGCTTCTTCAAAAAGACTGTTCCATACACAAATAGAACTAATTTAATAAATCCTAAACAAAACTAGCTATCAGCTATCATTTTACATGAATTATAAACATGAGCACCCTTTGATTTCGAAACGACCCACGGTGTTTCAAACAGAGCAGACTAGCTGGACAAAAGTCATGTGTGAACTTCAGAGAAATGATTATATAAATTAACGAACAACATTCTGATAGTTCCGAATGTGGCTAATTTGTTGCACCGTTTTAACTAATACGGTGGATAATCAGAATCAGGGGCGGTTTCTCCATTGGTTCATTTGTGCAGTTAACACCCAGTTACATTTCATAAAAACACATTATTTTAAAATAAATAACATAAAAATATTAATTTAATTTTAATAATTTTATTGTTTTCATACGTGTTAATATATATTTCTGGGTACGCCCTGCGCTCTAGCTAATCGCGTTTGCGTGGCGCACTTTTATAAGTGGGCCCGCGGGAGTGAGAGGCGTTCTTGAAAATATTTAGCTAAAAAGATATGTCACATGATAATAGATACCTGAAACGTAGTGAAACAATCATAAAATAACTGAAATCAGCCTAATTTGTGCAACGCACACCGTGACGTCACAAAGTAGGGCGGTGCATACCAATCTTTCTAATCATAGATATAGAGAAGCACTGACGGTACTAAACTTGTCTGCATTTTTCATTACTCTTTTACGACATATGTCAAACTCAAGCTAGTCAGTTTTGGTGATAATAAATGCCTTTTTTTAAAATAGGATGATTTAAATGATATAAAAACATTTTCATTCAGTCAATCTACAAATATAAAATTATTAACTTAAAATTAATCAAAATATGACGCAAAGTGCATCCACTTGTCATATCACGAAATAGTCTTTATTTCATCTCTACCTACTTCATATTTTATCTTTTCAATCAAGCTGTCAAATTCTAAAAATCAACATGAGACAATTTTAATTATGAATTGTATTAAAAATTAGGTTTAAATAAAACTGCGACTTTAATAAATCGGAAGTATGTGTGTCAATTCAACGATTGTTACCGAAAAACGTCACAGGTAAAAAAATACTAATATTTTTGAGGTTGTTTATTTACAAAATAAAAGTTGTAATTATTTTGTTTTTGTTCCAGAGTCTACAGAATAGACCAAACAATATATACAGAATATACCCAACTATGCATTGAGCAAATTTTTTTGTTTCCAACAAAAGACAAACGAAGTTTCAAAAAAGTATGACAATTTTATTAAGGGCCAGTTTTTTCTCCAAGTTGAAAGTAACTACTTGCTGATTAAACTATAGGGCTATTGTTTGTTAATCTGTCAAGTAAACTTACATGTAACTTAACTCAGAGGTGAAAAGATCGACTCTTAAACAAGGATAATTTTTTGACCACAGTACAATTTTATATAATTGTTTACTTTGTAGGTTGTCCCTTGAAGTTATAGAAAAATGCTCTATCTATAAATGCCAGAGGTACTGATAAGCAGTGTCAGACTGATATAGCACTGAGGATTTTATAAACTTACATTACAGTTTTTTTAAAGAAGATATAAAATATAAATATTGCACTGGCCTAAATTAATTCAAGAAACTTAATAGTCTATGTTAGGTATGTACCTATATCATGAAGACAATTAAATATTTACCGATATCTATCTAGAAGGTAAGCTACGTAGACATAGTGCAGTTTTATAAAGGTTATATTTTTAAAATCGGCTCATCTAGACCTTTTCAGGGGTATTCTCTACCAAGTATATAGTGATGTCATAATGGGTCCTATGATTGAACGTTTATGTTATCCATAACGTACATGTTAGGTCGAATTTTAACAGTAACTAAGCAAGTTTGTATGATGGAAAACTGTTAAATTAGAACATAACAGGCGGAAAATAACAGTAATGTGTTGGAAACCGTTTTTCATCATAAGAACTTGCCTAATTACTGTTAAAACTGAGCCTAACATGTACGTTACGGATAACGTAAACGTTCAATCATAGGACCCAATATAAGTTAACTTAAAAAAAGATAACGCTATGTTCAATGTTTAATAAACTTACAAGTTAAATGTTATATAACATTATTTAACTCTCACGTTAGTCGTACTATTTATAGAGGCATGTTGGAGGTATAAGACACTAGATAGGTATGTCATAGAAAATTTGTTATCAGAACATAGAAATATGTTACAAAAACCAACAACTCATGTATGTTAAAAAAAAGTTTTAATAGTTAGATTATTAGTAAACAATACATATTGTGACAATAATTAGGGCCAACTAAATTTCTTGTCGAAATATAATTATATATAAATATAGAACACGAAAATTGTTCAACCAACATTCAGTCTGCTCTACTAAAAAGCTGACTAGAATGACAGCACAGCACTCTTTGACTTTATCATTCTTTTAGTGTACCTATTTTTTAGGCTATTTTTTTATTGTTTTATCGTTCATTACATTATTATTCTACTCTTCACACAGTAGTCTGTGAATAGTATTATAGGTTTACTTTGTCCGATGTCTCGGTTTTTGTCTGCACGATAAGTAAAAAACGAAAGATCTGATGTGTCCAACACATGACTTTCCTATCTAGTTATTATAGGCTTTTTCCGGTTATTTTGTACAACTTATTGCAGCACATCTACAAATGTTTAGAGGATAAACTAAATATATACATTTTCCACATACATCTACCTCGAAACATTTTTCTATAGATATTTATTGAAAACGAAAATACTGAAAAAATTAAATTTAGCACGTTTCCTACAATTTTTCCATTACGGTCCATTTTAGAAAAATCATGTATAAACAAAAATTATAGAGATCGATGTCGCAAACAACAATTTTCATAAAAATCAGAATTTTGCACATTTTGTCAAATTTCTCGAATACGGACCATTTCAGGAAATTTTGACAAAAAACAAAAATTATAGATAATAATATTAGAAGTAACTTTTATTTGAACATTTTTTTTTCTCCAAACATAAATAACATATATATTCTATAAAATATGGAAACGGCCTCCCATAAAGTACCCCCCCAGATGTTCCGACTTTGTCCAAAATCTAATCATTTCACGTCAGGCCGAAATAAAACTTAAGTTTAAAATTTAATGTTTTTTTCTTTATCCATTTTTGAGTTTTCTCCAAATTTCGAAATTTACACATTTTGTCAAATATCTCGAATACGGTCCATTTTAGAGAAATTATGTATAAGATAAAAATTATAGAGAATTATATTACAAACAACTTTTAGTTGAACAATTTTTATATAAAAAAATTTTGTATAAAACAAAAATTATAGATAATTATATTAGAAGTAACTTTTATTTGAAGAATTTTCTTCTCCAAACTTAAATAACAGATATATTTCACACACACACACACACACACACACACACACACACACACACACACACACACACACACACACACACACACACACACACACACACACACACACACACACACACACACACACACACACACACACACACACACACACACACACACACACACACACACACACACACACACACACACACACACACACACACACACACACACACACACACACACACACACACACACACACACACACACACACACACACACACACACACACACACACACACACACACACACACACACACACACACACACACACACACACACACACACACACACACACACACACACACACACACACACACACACACACACACACACACACACACACACACACACACACACACACACACACACACACACACACACACACACACACACACACACACACACACACACACACACACACACACACACACACACACACACACACACACACACACACACACACACACACACACACACACACACACACACACACACACACACACACACACACACACACACACACACACACACACACACACACACACACACACACACACACACACACACACACACACACACACACACACACACACACACACACACACACACACACACACACACACACACACACACACACACACACACACACACACACACACACACACACACACACACACACACACACACACACACACACACACACACACACACACACACACACACACACACACACACACACACACACACACACACACACACACACACACACACACACACACACACACACACACACACACACACACACACACACACACACACACACACACACACACACACACACACACACACACACACACACACACACACACACACACACACACACACACACACACACACACACACACACACACACACA